GAGAGCGCTCTTCTTGATGTCAAGGAAACTCCAGTCTGGACTTGAGTATTTCAATCGGTGGAGGAATTGACTAGTGCTAATACCTCCTGTGAGAGACAGGCTTACTGCAAGATGTAGAACGGATTCACATTTGGAGTATTCTGTTGAAGGACTTCCTGGGAGCCCACGTGGCAGGGGAGAGCTGTACTCCACAATGTTTGCAGTGGCCCATTTTCGGAAAGAGTGGCATAGCGGTTAAGCATCTGACGGCTCACTGCAAGGTCAGCAGTTCAAAACCACCATGGGAAAAAGAGAGGCTTTCTGCTCTCATGAAGAGTTACTATCTTATAGAAACTTACAGGGGCAGTTCTACCCTGTCCCATAGCGTCACCATGAGTCATCGTTGACTCGATGGCAGTGTTTGCCTTTGGGTTTTAGAGACCACCCAGCCTTTCTCCTGACATGCCTCTAGGTGGACCCACCAGTTGGCAGAGCAGCATATTAACCATTTGAACTGCCCAGGGACTCCATGAGTCAGCACCGGGTCACTGCAGGGTTCAGGCGTGTGGCTGGAGCAGAACTTTTTATTTTCACTTCTCTGTGTAAAGCGCCGGCCGGGCTGGCCGCCAGGGCCCCCTTGGTGTTGGTGGTCCGTGATTGGTTGTGCTGGCATACCTGGGCACCTGGGCCATGGGGAGGGTGAAGGGATGCCCCCACCCTGGGGTTCCTGGCAGCTATCACCCTGGGCGTGTAGGACTTGGGCAAGCACAGGAGACTGGACCCCCTCTTAGAAAACACTAGCTTGCACTGGTACTGGGCTCCCCAATGGGCAGCTAGTAAATGATTCATCTGAAAATGAAATCCTCTTAACAACACTGTCGATTGCCTTTTGTTATCTCGATGGGTTACGAGTTGGGCTGATAACTGCTAGGTCAGCAGTTTGAAACCACCAGCTGCTCTGAGGGAAAAGGATGAGGCTTTCTACTCCTATAAAGAGTTACCATTTTGGAAGCCACAGGGAGAGATTGACCCTGGACTATAGGGTTGTTATGCGATGGAATTGACTTGCGAGCAGGGAGCGGGGTTGGGTTGATTTTACATTTGAGGAAACTACAGTTCAGGGAACGTGAGTGACTTGCGGGGGGGG